AAAGACACTTGGCAAATCACAGAATTAAATTTTATTCAATTGATACGTGTTTCTTTCGTTTATACACGTTTCGGGCATTTCTTGCTCCTCTTCAGCCAACTAAAATAAAAGTTTACAAGTTACAACAGTATAAACAAACAAACATATAAGGTTATGTTATTTTAAAAACACACCTTTTTGATGAGTTTAAACAATTTTAAAATTTCATCCATACACTTAAAATCACGTTTAAATTGATTTAACAATTAAAATTTACATACTATTCTTTCGTACAAATGTATTTCGCTGACCTTTCCTTTTCAGTTAAGCATGCCCACTGTCTACCACACAGTCACATGACAAGTAGGCCACCTTATGGCAACATTTTTTAAAAAATTACTTTTCTACATAAGAATCTGTTACATAAAAAATCTTCTTCAAAAATATTCCTAATTTTATAAGATATTGAGCCAGTTTTCGTTTATTTTAATACTTAGGTTTTTATTTGTATATTTTATTACTTTTGATAATTCCTACTCTTTCTTTGAACTTTCTACGATACGTTTCTTTTTCTTTGTGGAGTATTTGTACTTTATCTTTATCTGTTTTACAATCATTCAGGGTGCAATGATCATGAAAAGCAGAATTTAATCTATTGTATTTTAGATCTGCTATATGTTCTTTTAATATGGTTTTTAACTTTCTGTTAGTTTCTCCTATATAATATTTATTATCTCTACAAGTACAATGAATTTTATATACTACATTCTTAGTTTCAATCGGTAGTTGCTGTTTTTTCTCAGTGTTGAGCTATTTAATCCTTGTATATGTTACTGTGAAAGACCGACATTAGAGAATGTCGATATTCTCCGGTGAATGTCGACACATACAAAATACGTCGGTGAAAGTCCGAATATTTGGTTATATTATTATACATTCGAACAATCGCCGTGTATGTCGACAGGCACATTTAAGCTTTGGTGGAGGTCGAAACGACACCCGAGAAGCCGATGTCGGCAGAGAGGCGACAGTCTGTCGTCAAATCTTTTGTAGTTAGCGAAAGGTAGGGCAAGGTCTTTTGATCCCGTGAGGTGGGGATCGGTTTGTCAGGTAGAGTGGCGGAGATATCCGAATGTCAGGATGAGAGGGGTCGTCGGTAAGGCGTCGGCGATATCCGAATAAAAGACACCATTAACAGATCAGTTCGTAATCACGTAATAACGTAATCAGTTCGTAATTTGTAAAGAAAAGTTGCTTTCCATAGATGATATTTCTTCTCAAGAAATATCGCTGAGAGAAGCAGCTGCAGCTAATTCGAAAAGTGGAAGGCAAGGCTATACACGCTGTCATTGCAAAAAAAAGTGTTCCACGAATAAATGCAGTTTTAAAAGCAAGGGACTCTTGTGCAATTCAGTTTAAGTTGTTGCAATAAATAAGATTGTATAATGTTAATCACATAATATATGTGTAAGTTTATTATTGTATTATTTTCTTTAATGATTAAGAATGTACTATTCGTTTTAGGTTCAACAGTTTATTTAAATGTGCTGTTACTTAAGCTTTCTCTTATTTTCACATATTAAAATGTTGCATTTTTGTCTTAAAGTAATAAAAATATTTTTATTCAACATTCACCATCAGNACTCTTTCTTTGAACTTTCTACGATACGTTTCTTTTTCTTTGTGGAGTATTTGTACTTTATCTTTATCTGTTTTACAATCATTCAGGGTGCAATGATCATGAAAAGCAGAATTTAATCTATTGTATTTTAGATCTGCTATATGTTCTTTTAATATGGTTTTTAACTTTCTGTTAGTTTCTCCTATATAATATTTATTATCTCTACAAGTACAATGAATTTTATATACTACATTATTAGTTTCAATCGGTAGTTGCTGTTTTTTCTCAGTGTTAAGCTGTTTAATCCTTGTATATGTTACTGTGAAAGACCGAAATTAGAGAATGTCGATATTCTCCGGTGAATGTCGACACATACAAAATACGTCGGTGAAAGTCCGAATATTTGGTTATATTATTATACATTCGAACAATCGCCGTGTATGTCGACAGGCACATTTAAGCTTTGGTGGAGGTCGAAACGACACCCGAGAAGCCGATGTCGGCAGAGAGGCGACAGTCTGTCGTCAAATCTTTTGTAGTTAGCGGGAGGTAGGGCAAGGTCTTTTGATCCCGTGAGGTGGGGATCGGTTTGTCAGGTAGAGTGGCAGAGATATCCGAATGTCAGGATGAGAGGGGTCGTCGGTAAGGCGTCGGCGATATCCGAATAAAAGACACCATTAACAGATCAGTTCGTAATCACGTAATTACGTAATCAGGTCGTAATTTGTAAAGAAAAGTTACTTTTCATAGATGAGATTTCTTCTCAAGAAATATCGTTGAGTAAAGCAGCTACAGCTAAATCGAAAGTAGAGGGTAAGGCTATACAGTAGACTCTCCTATAACACTGTAGATATTTCCGTGTTATATGAATTCCATGTTGTACGAGTCACTTAGATTTTACAAATACGTGAGCCGTTCACAGCCCGACACACGTATTTGTAAAATCTAAGTGACCCCTACAGTGTTATAGGGGTCTACTGTACACGCTGTCATTGCAAAAAGAAGTGTTCCACGAATAAATGCAGTTGTAAAAGCNGTTTCGGAATCATCCTGAGATATTCCACTTATTTTACAAATAATAACATAAAGAAAGAAAAAGCCAATTAGAAGAAGAAAATTAATGCACTCTCTCCGTGTCGATATTTTTCGATACAAGGCGCCAAATTCGCCAACCTCTACGTCACTCAATAAGCAAAGTGATCAATATACGATATAACAACGTATTTACTTACCATATCTGCTCTGTTTTCTATTACGCAGACACGTATTTTTAACTGTTCCGACGACGCTGTGCAATGAAAACTTTCATTAAAATTTAATTAGTAATATATAAAAATAGATTTTATACTTACAACAATATACTTTCGTTAAATCTTCAGTATTTTCCATTTCGGCAAAGGACAATACAAAAGTAAAGCAGGCAAAAATAATAAAGGTTTTCATGTTTGTAACGATCTTACCTAATACTCTTCGTCGTCGTAACATTACGAGGTTATATAATTTCGTTTTATCATAAAGGTCATCTGTCCATCTTGATAATTTCTGTTTACAGGTTGGAGATTCGTAAATTCTTCTCGGTTTTTTAATATAAATTATTTATTTTACTAATTGAAGATAAATGCTACATTGTTATGGATCGTTGTCGGCGTCGTACTTACCTTGTAGACATTTGAAGCTATCCCCTCTCGGCAATTTTTTGTTTGGTTTTTTATAACTTTTATTACAATATTAAATCAAATTTCAGAAAGGAACGTTTTATTTACGGTATATTCTGTCTCTGTAAATTGATAAAACCGTATGATTTGATGCGATAATTTTAAAAATGTTTTCTTTTGAAGAAATACAAAGTTCGTACAACGATGTTCCTCAAAAAATGATGTATGGAATCGCCTGTAGATATTTATTTCTGTTGTAAAATTATGTATGGAATTAATGGGATAATGATAAAACACGAGAAAAATACACCCCGAAAATCTACAGGTGATCAGCCCGTTGGCTCGCACGCACCCACGACCAGTGTTCGGTGGTTCTATCCAGTCGGTCACTGGTGAGAACTTATCGAAATTAAGAAAGTAGCATTCAGAAATGAAAAGCCAATAAATCCAATGTAGACGGAAATTGATATATATATATATTCAATATTTTTGAGCAGTATTACAGTACGGTATTATTTAAGATAGATGTTAACGTAACTGCTAAGTTACGTAGCAATGGGTCTAGTGGTCTAGGAATGAATAGCGATCAAACAAACATTCTCATTTATACATATGTACGTACATGTTTAAGATCTTATCTGGCAGTATTCCAAATGAAAAAGTAATTTTTTAAACTTAAAATTACTAATACTACACAATTAAAAGTTATTGTGCCCGAAAACTCTTTTCTTTAGTTACGTGCTTTTATTACAGAATGTAAAGAGCTATATTAATCCGAAAGCGACGGTAATTCTGAATGTTCACACACGAGTCGCCCACTTACACATTCAAAATGTAATCAGACAAATGACAAAACTCATTGGTGTAGTTTTTAAAGTAATTATAAAGTATACAAACAAAGAAATAAATTTCATTTAATATTATTTTTATTTCAAAATTATGAATGTGACTTACAAGTTAGTGGCATTAGATACTAATGTAAATAAATTAACCGAATTATTTCGCTTTTATAAAACTCAACATCGATATATAAATACCAGAAACTTTGTATGTCTAGATGGTGAATCGTGACGTCACGTGCAATGATTTGAATGCAAATTAAGAGGAGGTAATTGTAGGAATGATTTCAGACGCTAGTTTATTGCACTCCACGATTTAAGATATGTTCCCTCGTACATCTTTGCTTTTAACACTTGATACTGGCTGGAATGACAGTCTTATTCCCCAGTAGAATATTTAATTTCCTTGTTGAATACTAACTAATACAAGCAATAGTATAGAAACAAACACTTGGTTAAACGTCCAATTCTAATAGAGCCATTTAATGCAATAAATTTATTTCCACCATACGAAAACCATTAATGAAAATCTGCAGGGCGTCGGAGTGTTTGTTTCTACACAAAAATACTCGTCTTTACTTGCAATGATTGATACATAGAAGGGTAAAAAGTTATAAGTAACGTAGTTCACTAGAGGATACACTTCTCTAAATGCTCGAGTTGCTGTATCGATGCACTTCATACACGCATCATAGAAAATATACGCGAAACATCTCTTCTGTACCATTTTGAGTTCAGAATGTTTCAGCTTCTCCAGTTTTCTTTTCGCAGTTTTATAACAAGTTTTGCCTGGAAGAATAAAAACACAGAAAGCATTTGCTCTCTTCCCATAAAATACTGTAAGTCTGTATACATCTCTGCAAATTGAGTAATTTATGAAAGGTTTAGTTTTGTCTTCGTATGGTCGTACTGCATAATCTTTGTACAAGATGACACATTTAATTTCTTCGTCCGGTATATTCATTTTGTGGCATACTTTCTTTATTTCATTCTTTAAACATGATTTGTCAGAAAGTATAGATTCATTTCCAAAAAGTAAAAATCGATAATTAAAAAAATTGAAACCCGGAATATTTGGAAATATTGATATTTGTATTTCGGTTGTTTCTTCTATTGATGAGAACTTATAATGTTCAGTAAAAGAGCGTATCTCATCTTCATCTGAAATTAAAGACGTGATGGTTAATAACATTTGATGAAGAATCTGAAATTCACAAAGTTATTTACTGTACTTTGAATAAATAATAATCGTATACTTACTAATTGGGAGTAGTAACGTTCTATAGACGTGTTGTCCGAATACAAACAATTTATATGCAGAATGAAAATTACGTAGAGATTCGTCACCGAGAACGAAACAATTATATTGAAAATTATCTTCAAACCCAGCGTAACGACGTAGTTTTTCCGATTCGTAGATTACGGAGTTTATTACGTTAAGAGGGATTTTCTGTTTAAAAAATCAGAATATTAACGGTTTTTAATTTATGTAGATTATAAACTAATTAATTTTAATTTTTGAAGTAACTTTTCTACAAATGCAAATGTTCACAATGCAACAGCTCAATGCAATGCTTGACAGGATGCAGGATGCAGGTGCATCCTGTCAAGCACAGCTACATTGCCTAACAATAGTTACTCTACCGATTTTGAAGTGAAATTTACTCAAGACAAATGCAAAACACCTTGCATAGAAAAACGAATTCTCGGGAAGGAGAATACACTCAAAGGAAAACAGCATTGATCCATAGAATGCTGCAAAATCTAGATATTTTGGATTCAAATGGAGAAAACTCACAGTATCACGCACAAACTCGAACAAAATTAAAAAATATAATCCTACGTTTCATTAATTATTTTCTAAAATGGATTCTGTAAATTAGAATTTATTTATGTTAATCGATTTTGAAATTTTGGGCATTTGCAGCAACTACACAACCATGGCGTACGATCAACAAAATAACGTTAGAATAATTACCCTTGAGATCATTGTTACTCTATGATTCATCATGTGTTCGATGATATCTCTCCATTGGCTACACACTTGGCTAGATACATCTAAGTTTCTATCGTCTACGTATTGAAATATATAAAACATTATTATTTCTGGTAATTCTGTGATTAAGATGGAGTAACTTTGCGTTACTGGAACTATTTCTGTTATTTTTGCACATTTGGCCATTCTCTGCAAATAAAAAAGAATAATGATAATGTATTATTAACACTTATTATTATTTATCTTAACTTTAGTGAGTCCTATCAACTTTACAGTAATCTGAATGAAGGATACACGAACCACTTTTGAGTGTAGACGTTCTTTCTACAGTGATACAAATTAAGAATAAATTATAAATAAAATAAAAACTGGTAAAATAATGAATAATACATTTTATATTAAACATAAATCAAAAGAAATTTGTCTTTCAACTTTGAAAAAGACAGCTATTACTTGACTGACCCTTTGCCAATCTTGAAGTAACTGCTTTGGTTCCTTTTTGAATGCTTAGTAGTTATCTCAAAGGTAAAAACTCCAGCAACGAGTTGCTTAACTTACCCGACAATATTTGATAGCGCCATTTGCTACGATATTTTATTTTAAAACTTTTTATATTTTTAACTATTATAAAATAGCCAAAAACTTAATTTTGAGGATAGGTTTTACAAAAAAAAATTGTAAATGCTAACAACCAGTAAAATCATCATTAGGTTTGATTCCACTAGAGATAAACACGACCCCTTGATCTCCCCACCCGCTCGACCTTTAACCACGAAAATATAATAGCATCAATCCTTTTAATATACAAACCACCCTGCAAAATTTCATAAATTTTCGACAGAAAGCACAGGAGTTATTCAGCTTCTAAGAGAGTGAAGAAAATTGTTCCCCCCACACACTAACATCCATAAATACAAAAAAAATTCGAATTTTTTTGCATTTCTCGATGTTTCAGGGTGCGGTAAGTTCAAAAGTGTAAAAATCTTCTGAGGTTTATTTTGTGACTGATTACCACTCTTTCCCGGTGTTATATATAACAGCCGGAAAGTAAAAATAATCAGATGGAAGGACAGAGACATCTATTTTGTCAATAGGTATTAGAACTACTAATACGGTAAAACCGCTGTACATTATTTTGTACAAAATTCTAAATGTACAATAAATAGATAACTAAATTATTTTTGTAATAGAATAATATATATTACAGTAAACAACAATCCCTATCTGTCGAAAGGAAAATCAATTATTGAGGAAAGTCCGGTATATTGAATGTTTTTTAAAACACAATATAACGCGCCATTCTAGCGTAAAGACAAATTGTAGCTATCACTGATTAGATAATCAGAAAACTTAAATTACACTTCAATAGAAATTCGGTTATTTTTACGATGATTTCATCTATCGAGGTGATGTGAAGGTTGTCTCATATTTTTCATGGAGAGACCGGATTTTAAAACGGTTTGAAGAAGAAAGTGAAATTTGGCACGGAAGCTTGTTTATAACGGCATTGATGCTATTACATTTTGGTGATGAAAGGTCGAAAAAATGGGGAGATGGAGGGGAATCATATGACATATGTCACTGTCCTAATACTCTATACTGTATAATGGAAGATACACATTCGGCATTCTCTTGTTTTTTATTCTCTCAGAGAACACTTACAAAAATGCTCGAAAATGGTAAAACTACCTACTAACCAAATGGTTTTATGTTTATATTTTATTAAAAAAACAAAAATCTTATTTTGGAGGCAGGGAAGAGTATTGGAAGAAACTGTA